CACAATACCTGCAGTCATAATGCAAACAAAAAACACAACTCTGATAATGTGCACTGTCCTTGATGGTGCGTTGTCTTTGAGTTGTGCGCCTTTTGGCGTCATCTGGTCCAACCCATGCATGTGAGACTAGGCTCTAAGGAAAGCTGTCTCGGGTGTGGACCAATCAACTTCAAGGACAGTGCACATTATCAGAGTTGTGTTTTTTGTTTGCATTATGACTGCAGGTATTGTGGTCTATGCAAACATGACTCCTTGTAAAAAGTTGTCAGTTTTGTTTCCAGATAGAAGGGTAAAAAAACTATTATCATTTTTGAGTTAGTTGTTTGTTATAGTTTCATGTGAAATTCAGTAACCTTTTCACATTTTGCTGGTTGCAGTGTATCTTGATTTCATTTCTAATTTACATGCTAAATTTGTCACTTAAATGTCTAATTATGTTCTATAGAAGTAAGGAGATTGCAATCCTATTCTTTCTTGTGAATATTGCACATTGAATCTGTAAGTAGAATGACAAGATAGCTGCTTGACAAAATTATATATAAATACACAGGTTTAATTAGAGTAAGTGATGGGATGTATGGTTTAACAACCTCACTTTTATAAAAACGTGAAAAGCAATTTGGAGATATTAATTATTGGTACTGATGAAAAACAATTGCAGCTTTGATAATAAATTCAGTGATCTATTTTTGCATCTCATCATCATCATCATCATCAGACAAGTTTACGTAATGAGGTCACATACTGAGAACTCCAAATTAAAATAACTGTGCTCGAGATAATGCCACGGGGTAATGATGGTTCGCACACTATACCGGTTCAGTATCTTGGCAGGGCAGTTGAAAAGATGGGAAAGTTCTTAATCCCCCCCCCCCCCAATTCTTTTTCTGTTCAAACTGAAAGGGGGGGGGGGGGAGGGGTGTTGTGTTAAAATGTGGTTACTCTTATCTCTTCCAAGACATTTATTCAGAGTTGAAAAGTAGGCCAAAATACGCTCTAGAGGTGCTCTTCAAAGCCTCCTCTGATAGAAGCCCTTACACCAGCGGTAGCACGATCAAGAAAGTGTAAGGCTGCATATAATATAGTAAGTACTAAGAGTCAAAATGATATATACCATCACTAATACAGCATGTATAACTATGTGATTTCTGGAAATGCTGCAATACAAGGGAGTTTCAAGGTGAAAATTGTATTGTTAAAAAACCAGCAGTTGATGGAGGGCCCACTGGACATTGTGGCAACATTGCTTTTTTGCAACCCAAGGGCTTCCATCAACACATTTTCAAACAAGTGCTTAACACCACATATGCGCACAAATACACGTACGCATACACGAGCAAGCACAGTATTAAATGGAAAAAAACTGCACGGACTCACGTATGCTCACAGCTACACATACAATGGAAACAAGACTACAATTCAATAATAAATATTCGAGGGACATGCGTGTACGGTATTAATATAAAATATTTAAAAAATCTCGCACATCCATGTGACCTGCACAATTTCAGGTTACGTTTCGAATTTAAGATGCTTGGGTTAGCACTGGGTTAATTGCAGCCCACCCAGCGCTTACACAGAACACCAGGCACCAGGTTTGCATGTCCTGGGCACAAGAGGACCTCATTGGGCCGGTAATTGAGTGAAGCCCACCCGAGACCTCTTGCTAACTGCCAGCATTCATCACACACACACAATATTTAAATACTGTAGTAATGAGAGCCCACTGGGATACAGCTGGAAATGCTATACCTGTTCAAATCAACCTGCAGGAACTCAACACCTGCAACCTCAGGATTACGGAGCAGAGGCTCAAAACGATTTGTGCCAGCGGCTGCGCTAGATATTCGTAAATTAAGCAACAAACGCAGGTGGCCAAGCAACTCAGAAGGCCCCGAATTGATGGACAACCCAGAAGTGCATAAAATAACAATTAAAATTTATATCCCATTAAACATAACAAGTTAATTAACATTAACGTCAACAAATCTAACTATCGTCGTCACCTCTGTTTGCTCGTCTCACTTCATTTATATTTCTCACTACATTTCTCATCTTCTTGGTTCTTTCGGTAAAGTCACGTAGAAGGGAAATAATAAAATAATAAAAATAATACATAATAAAATAATTCTCACGACGTTTCGGCCACAACGCAAGCAGCCGTCCTCAGGGGAAGAACAGGGCTGTCATTCAGACGCTGTCTTTCCGACAGACCTGTTCTTCACCTGAGGATGGCTGCTTGCGTTGTGGCCGAAACGTCGTGAAAATTATTTTATTATTTTATTATGTTTTTATTTTTATTATTTCCCTTCTACGTGACTTTACCGAAAGAACCAAGAAGATGAATCCCTGCAGTCACGAAAGCTTTAAATCGAAATTTACATTTCTCATCTCACTACGTCTCTATTGTTTTTCCATATATCTTCTGTCAACTCACGAGGATTTTATAAATTGAAAATGGAGGGGGATCATGAAAATACATTTTGCTTAGGGCTCCTAATGTGCTGCCATCACTACCACTGGATTGTGGAGCGGACAGTACTCTGCATTATATGAGGCATGCAGTTCGTGTAAAGGGAGGATTACCACAATCAATAATCCACAATAGGAAACGGACAGGTGTTTATTTTATATTGAAGCAAGAGATGAGAGTGGATTATTTTTGCAGAGAAGAAAAAGCTATAACTTGTAGACACAGGATACAACACAGAAGACGTGATCAGTCGCTGAGTGACAGAAAAGTTTTTTTTTAATTCCACAATGCATTAAGTTTGTGCCATCTGCATGACGTCATACGACAAAGCATCCATTCAGGAATCTCACAAAGCAGTGACAGAGAACATATATATTAAAAGTTACCTTGTTATTATTTCCACGGCAGGGGGCATACTGTCACACAAGCTTTGCTATGAGAATGTTGCTGGACAACGAGATGGTTTGTACTGGTAGGAACCTCCTGGTTACACCAGCCCACAGGGGATTATTGTGTCCGTCCGTCGTGCAGGGGGGGCTGGGTGGGGAGGGGAGGGTGGTGAGGGGCTGGGTGGCGAAGGGAGGGTGGGGAGGGGCTGGGTGGGGAGGGTGGGGAGGTGCTGGGTGGGGAGGGGCTGGGTGGGGAGGGTGGGGAGGTGCTGGGTGGGGAGGGGCTGGGTGCGGAGGGTGGGGCTGGGTGGGGCTGGGTGGCGGGTGGGAGGAGTGGGGCTGGGTGGGGAGGGGCTGGTCACCCCGTGGTGCCCTTATAAAACTCAAAGTTTAACCTACTCACGCCGGCTTGTGCCCGCCCTCACAGTCGGGCATATTTGCGGAATACACCACGCCGCCGTTGACCCTGGCCATTGACCGAGCAACCCAACGTTCCTACCAGCTCCCTCCGCAGGAAGGTGTAAATCTCGAGGCTGAAAATTAGCCAATTTAAGCGCAAAAAAATGTGTTATATACAGTAGCTGTGTGTGTGTGTATGTATTGGTGATCAGGCTCAGACCGTCAACTCCCTCCATGTGATATGAACATAGGATCGAAGTGGTGCTCGTTCAGCGTTCTGACCTCCGTGCCACTCAAGAGGACAGTGCTTGTGTGGGTAGGGCAGGAGGAATCAGAGAATGTCTTCATTTCATCTTTCTTTGGACTGGATAGCATTACTGCGGTTGCTGAGTGATCGTGGTGGAGCAGTGGTTAGTGCACTGTGTTACGAGCCCATCAATCCGAGAAAGATGTTTGATCATGGTTAACATCTGTAAACTAATATGTGTATTAGTCTTGGGTCCCCTTTATCAACCCGCATTGACTAGCTTGGTGAAGAATGGTCAAATAACTCCCACAACTAATAAGGCATGATAAGACCTTCATATCGCAGTGGATTAATAAAGGGTGGGAACTACTATTTTATAATGGCAGTCATCGTGGTGTTCGTTTATGGCTATTAAATGTGCTTCGATTACTTTTCTGACAAGATCAAGTTAAATTCGTTCAAGAGGTAGACACAAGGTATTTAAATGAATCCCATTTAGAAGAATACCAAAATAAATAGACACATTTGTTATGTGAACCGTTTTGGGCGTCTGTTTTACTGGGTCACAAATTTTCTCGTAAATGTTTAATGTGTGTATGTTGAACGTCTTTTGCACCGTGCATAGTCAACCGTGCTAATCGGGTTGACGGTTTAATAAACGTGTACATCTTTTCTTTAACGATGCACAATTGTGTGGCTGAAGAACCATTTGCATCAGAAGAGTTAAATATAAAACGAATATATGTAATTTAGTAATGTGATTAAAGTATTAATGTATGGAAATTGTATATAATCAAACAAAAAAAATCAGTTTCAATGTTTCCAATTAATTGTTCGTGCATTTGCCCGCAGTCTCTGAGCCATGTTTATTTGCAGCACATAAACAAGTACTATTTTGAAGGGTTATAGCTTAGGGAGGTCTTCAGCAGTGCATTTGTTATGATGATTATAATCACGATTTCTAAGCAGGAAATAAAATGCATAGGTAGATATTCCCAAAATAAGTCATTTTAACCCTGGCTAATTCTAATACGTTAAAAACCCTTTCATTCCGTTCCAATCATTCCAAAGAGCAAATTTCTAAATGAAATTTATTTCAAATTGCGTTGCACCGGGTAATTGAATTTGAATGCAAATAGGATTCTCTGTCCTGCATTCCAGAACGATCACGGCATTAAAATACAATTCCACAGCTGCCCGGCACTCGCCGTCCCAATGAAATAAAAGATATCCAACATTATGGACCATAGCACCTTGCATCCGTGATGATTAGAAATGGCTTTAACGCAGAGAACAGCCGTAACCGGCCAACACAGTCGCACCGCGCGTTCGTTCCGTCGGCTTCGCTCCACACACAGCCGGTCTTTCCAATACCCCCCCCCCCCCCCCAAAATCCTACCTCTCCCATGCTTGCCCCTCCCTCAAGGGGTCGCTGAGGGGGATCAATTTAGTACTGGAATGAGTAAATTCAGCGCTCGGCCCGCCGGTGACTCGTCCCATCACACGCACGCTTGCGCGCTCCGAGCTCTCGGTCAGCCAGCCACGGGCGCATTCCGTGCTGCGTGCTGCAAGTCTGAAGCCGCACCGCACCGCACCTCGACTCCGCCTGCTTTGCCTCGGAACAGCAGTAGCAGCAGCAGCAGCATTGACACGGACGCTCCACTCGTTTCCGCAATTCCAGCGAGGGTTGCGTTGTGTGTGGAGGAGAGAGGCTGGCGAGCGGGAGAGAGGAGAGGAGAGGGGGGTGGTGTTGCAAAACAGCTCCACGAATCTATAATTTGTTAGCGGCGGCAAGTGTGTTCATGGCCGGGGCAACCCCAAAACACTGCTAATTATTGAGAGGGAACTTTACAGGCGCAGCCTCAAAAGCAAGCAGCAGCACGCTCGGGTAAGGCGATTCTCTCGTTCGTTTTCTAACGCTTATTGCATTTGCACTCCGCGTTTGTTTGTGGACGCTATGAAGAACTACCAATGAGCAAACACGAGCGTGATAAATGGACGGATTTTTTTTTGTTGCAGACTAACGAGGCAATTTTTTTTAATGAGTAGATGTATATTTGTCCTATCATGGGTTTACCAAATGCTTCAGGTTGATGTAGTGCCATTTAAAACGGCTATCATGCATGTGCAATATAATCGGTGGTACTCTTGTAACTGTTGAAATGCTGATTTTCTAAAAAATAAAAAATGTGATTTCCTAGCATGCGTGTAGCGGGGCTTGTTACGGTGATTACGATGCCTCAAAAATACCACGTTGAGTGTATCTATTTGCAGAATTCAATCATTACACAATGCCGTCGGAATATCACGCATATAATGTGTCACCTTAAGTAAGTGAAATAGATCACACAAGCCAAACTTATTTTGTGAATTTGCATTCCATTGTCAAATACACCCGATGTTTGGGAGATATCATATTTTGACAGGCAGCTTCATGCAACATGAATATAATCTTTGCAATGCGATCTTTTTTTGTTATTTCGTGAAGCAGGCTTCCCTCTGTTGTGTTCTTCCTCTCGTAAGAATGGCTTGGCAAAGAGAGAAATTGTTGTGTTGGTCAAGTGATTGACAAAGACGGCTTCTCTGCTGGCTTTTACAGAATTTGCTAACGGAAACAGAACTCCCCTCAACCTGATGGATTTAGTATGATGGCTCTGTCTGTAAGTAAAAAAAAATATCTCTCTCTCTCTCTCTCACTTTTTCTCGAATGCACGCTTTGATTGAATTTCACGCTGGTAGTATTGAACTTACATGGTGATTCTGTTTTTATTATTGATTACTGAAGATGTTTCGGACAGAATTAATGAAACCTGAATTTGTTTTCTTACGTATGTCGTGGACGTCGTCGAATGCCAGTGCTTTCATCTGATTTCTACCATCGAATTGGCATTTGACACATCTGACGCTGTATCAAATGATTCTGCTCTTTGAATGCCAATGCATTTCATTGCGTGGACTGTGTTAATGCATACACTGTTTGAGCACGCATGTGCTTCTATTTGTGTTTTGCACTTGTAGAAGCTGTTGGAGAAAACAAAATCAAGCTAAAATAGTGCTATCATTCGGACATATCCAACGTGCACTAAGTTAACAGGGAGCTGAACAAACTTAAAAGCTTGACTGCATAACACGCATTACCGGTGCAATTACATTTGGCCAAATATTGACCCTACAACAAACTACTCAAACGTTCACAATGAGTATAAAAGGCTACCTTTGATCGCTATAAACCCATACCTCTCGCTGTCAGGAAGCCCTGCGTTTTCATTGGAATTCATTATACACTTAAGTGAACACATCTAATTAGTCATGTCTATTGGCTGCATGCATCCCATTGTCGTACATTAGTTGTAATTCTCCACAAGGCGTGACAATTAACACGATTGTGATTAGTGCATATTAGACATGCATTACAGTGTGTGCTCAACCACCCGTTGATTAGCACAGGGCAAGGGGCGTTGATGCGCATTGGAGCTGTGAATTGTAGTACACCCATGTTGCCAAATGTTAAGGCTCTTTCCCCTTTCAGCCTTCACGTATTTTCTTTGCTTGCCAATGTCAAGCCAGGCACGTAGTAGATACTATTGCGTCTACTCGGCAAACAATTTGCTGCAATCTGATTCGGTCGTCGTTTTTTGTTTCTTATTTATAACGAATATTATTGGAGACCATCTAAAATGTGTTTTATGCAGTCACTCAGAAATATGTTTTAACCACCGCTAACATATTGACGAAAGGAAATTCTAAGCCGTGCAAACAGGGCGATATTCTGCTTTGAAAAAGCCATCTCTTCCTGTGGAACATGCAATGCATCGTTGGGTACAGAAGGCAAACACAAATTACTAGTTGCAGCAATGAGCAGAGATGGAATGCGAGAGATGCAGGATGTGTTCATGGCAAATGCGTTACTAAAATGTATTTTCCATTAGGCAGGCCATGCCATTGAGCTTCATTGTTTGATGTCCTCTTGTATCTACTTGACATTTCCACAATTACAATTGTGGAAGCAGAGAGTGCTACAATTTGTTATTAATATAAGAAGGCATTTCAATCCCAGCATATAACGCAGTTAAAGCAAAGCACGTGGGGGAAATAGTATAATAATTACAGGAATCCAAAAGTTTGCTGAGAGGTGGATATCGCAAAAAAACAGCCTTCTGCCACTATCATTTTCCCACTTGAGTACGTTCTTATTGAATATTTTGTACAAATTTAAATGCAAGGTACAATGCAATGTTAAAAATATTAAACTGTGTATTAATGAAGTGTGAATATAAACATTTTCATTCTCGGTCTAATTGCATGGCCTACAATAAAAAAAACAACCCACCTATGTGTATGCACGTGTTGTGGTTTGAGGCTATACTGTGTGATTTATTTGAGAAACAATGATGGCATTATCTTTTAAACTTCTTGGGAAAAGTGAGTGCTCTTTTTCTATCAGGCAAAGATAAATGTGCAGCCTTATAATTACTTGCTCACTCGAGATAACACTAAGGAGCACTTCGAGAGGGTGTTGTTGACCTCCTCTTCCACATGGGTCAGATGTCTTATGAGAGGTAGTCTGAGTAGATCAAGGCAGGATTTAAGAAACTTGCATATTGTTTGAACTGGCAAGCCTGGAAATTAAACAGGTGGATTGCAAATCTAGTGATGGCACCATCACTCGTTTTTGTAATGGCAGTCGCCTATCAGCAACATTACACAAAAACACGTTTGGATAATTATACATGTAAATAACGTTTTGAATAATTGTAGAGGTTAGAATAAGTACAATTGATTTGATTTCATTGCATATATGCAACGTATTAACTTGAAATTTGCTCAAGAGTACACCAATAAACTTATTCTGATCAGATATTAAAAAAAACATACCATCCAACAATGAACATATTTCAGAATGTGACATGAGAGTTTTGATATTCACGTTGAGTTACTCTGTTGCTTTCATGTCAGTGTGTGAGTCAGTTCATCCGACTGGCAAGAGAAGACACATTACTTTAAACTCTTTGGGAACATTTAACCGAGTATTTGGAGAAACTTACGGACGGAACATGAGTGCATTTGAAATTCTAGCGTGCTTTGCAAAATGACGGAGTGAATGATATTTTCTCTATCCTCGGTGACGTGAATAAGAATGAAATATCCATCATTTAGAGTATCAAGTGCCGGAGCAGAGGATAGTCATGGCAACTTCTTAGATCCAATATCACTGACAGGGAAATTAATCTGCATCATCGTGCTCACCGACGTGCCCTGCAGCGCCATCTAACAGGTTTCCCAGTTCCCGTGCCAGAACACACGGGTATGCCACAGCAATGCCCCCCAAAAACAATGATCAGTTTGTTTACACTCAGCTCAAGTGCATTTTGCTTCTGTTATTCCTATATTATCATGCACGTGCATCTGCCTGACAACTGTAGTATGTACACATTCGCCCTTGTGAATGCAGAAATCACGTAAAATCAAGCCAGAGAGGAAAATGCATCACATACAAACACACTTTCTACTTCAGTAGGCACACCAGAATTAGTTTGGCATTAGAATCAGAAAAAGGTGCTAATGATACACATTTTAAATCAAACCTTGTAAAACTTCGAGTGGCTTCAATGCTGGCCGACACTTTAATGATATTGATGTTGAGAAAGTTATTTGTAAATTAATGTTTTATATCCTGAACTGTGTCACTTGAAATAACGTTATTAATTGGGCTTTCACCATAACCAAATTAGTCTGAAGTCACACTATGAGAAAATTACAATATGTGTTGCAAGAATACAGAATAAAACACAACTTGCAATAACCCAATGTGCACTTTCCATCCAAGTAATGTTTTGTGATAGCCCTCGTTTAAATAACCATTGCTTCCGAGTACAAACATTGTAAGGCTGTACATTTAATATTTGATGAGAATCAGTTCTGTCTATCGATTGAGGGCAGAAACCGAGGTCGGTGCTTGCATAAAAAAGTGACAGATCATTGTTTGAATTCAATTGCCCAAGAGATAGTGCGGATACACTATTGAACCTGGGGGCAGGAGAGGTGGAAAGCGGTGAGAATCCCATTGATTTGCGTGTTGCGACAGGATTACTTGTGGATGGTCTATGAAGGAAGAATCACTCTTTGCGCTCGGCTCAGCCCAATCATTTTACATCTGTTTTCTTGAAAGCTCACTTCAAATCACTTATTCTCCATGCTATTGGTTTTCATACGTGGTGTATTAATAATGCATGTTATACTTGCCTACCAGCACTCTTTTTTTTTCTCAACACATTTTGCTCAATGTATATACCACTGCGCGTGTCATGTGTCAAAACGTCCCATTGTGCTCCCAGTCACGACACTTCCACGCAACATTCACGACTTCTCTATTGCAATGCGTACTTTGCAGTGTGCGTCTTTGCAGTGGCAGCTATTGTTTCCATATGGCATGTGGGGGCAGTGAGATCATGGCAATGTCACACCACACAGGAGATTGTCATGTCGGTGCAAAGCAAGATTATTGCTTTTTTTTTACAGCACAGAATATTGTATGCAACAGCTGCTGAGCCTGGACAGACAATCTCTACTCATTTCTGTCTCATGTGAGGCTTGATCTAGAATATCAGCGGTCGGGACCCTATGGCTCACGAGCCAGTGACGGCATATGGCTCCCAGACAATTTTGAGTTGAAAAAATAATAAAATAATAAAATAAAAAATAAGTTTGGAACTGATTTTAAAATACTTAAATAAATTTCACGGCTCACGCCTGCATGAAGCTCAACCTCACCACGTATGAACCATGACTACAAGGCCATCAGCAAAACCACGCAGCACCAGAAGTCGCATTAAAAGTAAGACATATTTAATTTATTATACGTTAAAAATACTATATGGCTCTCAATGAAATATATTTAGAAATATTTGGCTTTTATGGCTCTCCCAGTCAAAAAGGTTCCCGACCCCTGGTCTAGATTGTGCATTTTTAATGCACCGATGATGGTGAGTCAGGAGATGACCTTGCCTTTTAATTCTTTCACATCTGAGGCAATGGGTGGTGTGCTCGCATGGTCATACGTTCAAGGTAGCTTATCATACGAGATGATCAGTTGTAATAATGATAAGTTACAGCTATTTGCCAATAACCCTGATGGATTAAGGCCCCTCCATGCTGTTGTTGGTCTTGGGGGGATGTTTTGACTATACTTCACCATGCTGGTCATTGCAGGTTGGTGAACGGAGTGGAGCAGAAAGATCAGTTTAACACGAAGGCTGTCGCGACCAATATTATTCATAATCAACGTTTTTGGGTTTAGATCGCGTTATTTATTAATGTGTCGTAACCCTCCACCACCCGACACGGCCAATCAGTAAAAAAGTGTCACGTTGACAAAGGACAAATAGTTCACTGCTTGAGCCCACCGGTGTGTTGAAGCGTGAAACCACAACAATTTACAATTTGAGCAGTACGACGTTTCGCTGGTAATTGCATCCAGCATCATCGGGCAATTCGCCAGAATGGTGAGGCTCTGCTGTGTCTCTATATAAGAACGGGAGACACAGCAGAGCCTCACCATTCTTACTGATTGGCCGTGTCGGGCGGTGGAGGGTTACGACACATTTATAAATAACGCGATCTAAACCCAAAAACGTTGATTATGGAGGAGAAAGATGTTCGT